ATATTGTCGACTAGGGCGAGCAATTTCTATTTATAAGCACTTTTTTGCTGACACTTTATGAGGCAAAACTTAACCTTTCAACAAACAATGTCTTATTTTTATTCATCAAAATGTCTTAAATATATTAGCTACAAGCTCTTCTCCACCGTGCAATATTTTAATGCTTTGGAGATAATGGTTGGGTTACCTGTTAAACTTGCCATTGGAGAGTAATTAAAGCTTATACGGACGAAGAAAAAGTTGGTAATTTGTGTGTCAAAGTTAAGCACTAGTACATCTAAAACCATGTGCTTTAGCCCGTCAATTAAGAAATATGTGTTAAGAAAGCAACGTATTAAATTTTTAGTGTCTCATTGTATATATGAACAATACTTAGATGTATGCAATCTATTCTGCTTTATAAGTTCCATGAAGTAATTCAAAACGAGAGTAACATATTAAAATTTTGCACTGCATAAATTTTTTAAATAAGAAAGAAAAGTCAACTAATGGGACCGAGAAATCCATATAGAGACTTTCTCTTATTATGATGACTAATAAAACTTACTAATCATCACTTTTTTAAATGAGATTTGTTGGCGGAAGCTGATCATTATTGGGGGACAGAAATTATTTAACTTATATTATATTGCAAAAGATTCAACCATCTCCTAAACATATCATTGTTTGACTTTGATATTCTTTCACAGCCACCAGTTAAACAGTTCAAGTACTAGAAAAACTATTGATTTGTCATCCTCTTTCTGAAGTCATGCGTCTAATTTCCGTTCAGTTTGCTTGCTAAATTCTAAACCTACCAACCAACTCAAGAAGGTCAGGTCAACGTGCGCATCAAATGATGTTAATATTCCAACTATAGAAAGACGTACCTTGAAATTGAAGCCAAAAAATTTGTAGTACGTGGTTCAAATTAATTGCTTAACCTAAAATTTTGGAACACCACTAATTTTCAATATACATGCGAGAATAACAATTATATTACGCATAAGAAAAGTCTTGTACTATGGAAAATGTCTTTCGGCCCCGGAATTCTTTTGTTACACATTGACAACCAAGCTCATGGCATCAATTAATCCTATTCTCATTACGAGAGTTAGGGAGAATGTGTCAAAGAATTAATATTCCTCACGAGTATCATGAATAAACATAAATTTTTGAACAACTGGTGTGTTTTGACTGCCCGTCCTTAATTTACTTGGAATCTCGTCAACAAGACCTTACCGAATTACCCCATAGTAGTTTGTTGGGTTACCGGTTTGGAACTTATGATTTTACTAAATATATTGGATTTTGTAGTAGGGTTTTTGCTGTGTTGTGAAGTAAATGAAATTGTGCTTATGAAAGTAGGAACACACAGGGATTTTATAGTGGTTTACTCTGTTAATCAAGATCTACATCCACTGTATTGTATTTCTCTTGATTTTGCTCTTACAATTTATGTACCGCCCCCAATGCTAAACCAGTCTGAGGCTGAATTTAGCGATGTGGTGCTACTTAAAACAAATTTTATATACTTAAAATAATGTCATTTTTAAGATGCAGAAACTTGTGGTTGATTTCATCACAAGATTTTCGTAAAGGTTTTTTAACAAAATGAGTCAGTGCGCAAAATGATTACAATCACAAATCTTAGACATTAAACTGTCATTCAAAAGTGACGTAGTAACAAAAAAAAATAAACATTTTGAGCCCATCTATTGTTTTGAAGTACATATAAGCAAGATGCCAGATATAGGACTTGGAGTACTCAGCCAACCTTAGAAATCATTTTCTTTTTTTTTTTTTACTCTTCGGTAACAACATCATCTGCATCACAAGGTAAAACTAATGAGCAAAATCTCAATAAGTAGATTTCAAATAAAGTAAGTATCTAAAATCTCCGTGGCTAAAATCTCTTTGTTAAACATTGTTCATAAACTTTCATACTTATTCTTAGTTTAGGTATGATATAGAACTTCGGTTCTAAGTAAGCCTCTCTATACAGAACCTTCTCTAATTTTGGCTAATTCTCTTCTCCTAAACACTAAGCGGGGTTTTTAAAATCTCTTTCTCTTGTGATCAACAAGAGACTTCCCACTAGCATTTTTCTCTAGTTGTCTCAAAGAGACCGTTTCTCTAATTTGGGGTACCGGTCCTTACACCTATCCATATACCATACCATAAAATCTCTTAAAACATAAAAACATAATAAGCATTGTTAGTGTAATTTATGATTGGCTTATTTTTTGGCAAATTGTTTGAAAATTATTTTTGGCAAATTGGTGGTAAGTTTTGGTAGGCACTGTAAATTGGTGAGCCACTTAAGGAAAATTTGGCTGTCATGCTTAAGGGCTGAAAATAAGAGGATTTGCTTGCTCAAAATCAAGAGTTGACTTTGTGGGATTAATAGCTGGGAGCTTTTTTTGTATTAGAGGTATAACGGCAGAAAAAGTAGATGAAAAAACGAGTTGCATTACAATGTGCTAAAAGTATTATGCAGACTGTATGCTGAAAACAGAAAAGTTGTGTGTGTTCATGTGAGAATGAGATTGTAATGTTAAGTGTCGCTTGATATGTTGTGACAAATTGTTAGAACACTTTCGAGTTGGTCCTTCTGGAGAAGATTTCTTTGGTTTTGGGAGGAAACCGTCAAGTCGAGTGGTGCTCGCTGATCAAGTTTTCTAAGGAGATTCTAGGCAACGGCGACATCGTCAAGGAGGGAGTCGTTGAGTGTGTAAGACCGTTTGGTCCTTTGTAATCTTTTAAACTTAGTGGATTGATCACTGTCTGGGCGTGGCCCCGCAGAGTAGGTGTGTGCACCAAACTGCGATATCATTTTTTTTGGTGTCCTTTACGTTTCTGCATTTAGTTTCTTACATTTATGATCTGCTGGCTTAATATCGAAATTTATGTTATAACAGTGTTACAGTAAAGTGTCGTAACGCTTTCTGTGACACCAGTAACCAAAACAGACCCAAAAATGAACACACACAACTTTGATGGATTTTTTCAATCCATCCCTGCAATTACTCTTAAGAGTGTTCTCTTCTCTTAAACACTAAGCGGGGTTTTTAAAATCTCTTTCTCTTGTGATCAACAAGAGACTTCCCACTAGCATTTTTCTCTAGTTGTCTCAAAGAGACTGTTTCTCTAATTTGGGGTACCGGTCCTTAACCCCCCCGCTTACCCAGCCTCTCATTCATATATCATACCATAAAATCTCTTAAAACATAAAAACATAATAAGCATAAATCATAATCTCTTTCAAAATAATTAATCATGAATACTCTTTAAACATAATCATATTCATAAGAGAATAAACTTGCATACATCTCAATTCTAAACAATTTATTTCATCAAATAGATCTTGTGATGCAATTTTGAAAATGTTTTAACTCTACTTACTTGAATTTTGATCACCACTTTGCAAGCACAAACTAGCTGGTTGTGGGGAGCCTTCAATGTGCTAATTAACCTTTAAAAACCATAGCTTTCAAAAATCACATTCATATCATCATTTAACAAAACACATAACTGTGCAATATTACGAAAATATTCATAAAAAATTCATCAAAACTCAAAATATTATGAGACCAGTGGCAAATAAAAGTAAACTCAAAACCCTCTTTTTAGAGCTACTGCATGATAGGTTTCGGATTTTTCAAACTAACCAAAAACAGCCCGAAATCCAGATTGAAGTATAATCTCGTCAGGAAAATAAAAGCTTTTTAACTGAACTTATAAAATTCATAACAAAATGTAGAAAAATCCGTTTGGAGTGATTCAAAAACTCACGTCAAGCTTGAGATGTATACTTTAATAGAAAAATATAAGATCTGTCAAAATCAGAAGTATATATAGCACGGAAACAGAATCTACATAGGCTGTACAGAGGACTTATATTTAAACATTTCATCAAATACCTAGCATGCAGATCTTAATCTTCAAATGCCACTCTCAAATACATGAATCATCATCTTAATAAGAGTATCTTCAAATAATCATCAATAATATCAAGCTAAAATCATCAATTTCACCCAGAAACCAATATTTGAACCAAAACCTCAAGAAACTCATTTTTAAGAGTCTACAACCAACATGCATGATAAACCCATCAAAAATCCGAATCTCAAGTAGGATTTCAACATCTAAATCTCTGAAATCTTAGTTCCTAACATAAGAAAGAAGTTACCTCAAAGAAAAACGTGTTCCCAAGTGAATAGAAGCTCAAAACTTGGTGATTATTTTTTGTTCTAGGTTTAAAACGAGTTGACATGGGCTGGTTGAGTCTTTAGCTCTTTCTCTCTTAAAACCCTAGGTTTGAGTCTGAGTTTTGGGTGAGAAAAGGAGTGAGAAGAGAGAAGAAAGTGCCATGGTCGGAGTTCTAGGGTTTTTTGCTGAAATAGACCCAAAAATGAAGTCTAAACTTGATATAAACCAAGCAAAAGTAAAGTGACCTTATAATAGAATAAGTGTCTAAGTTTTTCTATGCCTCTAATAGTTGTCCTAACCTCATAAAATCAGCTCTAAAGTCTCTATTTTTCTTCTTCATTTAGGTGCCTAAAGTTCACTCAATTTGCTAACATAGCCTTCTCTCACAAAAACTCAAAATAGCAACTAAGTCCTCAACACATTTACATAAAACCATATAATAAAAATATAAAATAATGATTCATCATTAAATCAATCATAATAGAGGTAAAATATTATATCAAATAATCATAATAAATATCATTTTTCTTCATAAGTTTAGCACATTGAGTTCCCACATCGAGCTAGTTGCACTGCACATTAAAACTGAAAACTCGATTAGCAAAGCTATAAGTTTAATAAAATCATATGATAGCTATAATAATAAAATATAATGCCAACAAATAACTTTAAGGTAAATGGTAAATGTGGTGTATGATTTTAATTTACAAAATTTATTTATTATTGGCTTAAGGCTTAATTAAATCTCGGGTATTATAATTCTCCCCTCCTTACCAAATTTCATCCTCGGAATTTTGCTTACCAAAAAGTTATGGATACTTGATCTTCATCTCATCCACTTTTTCCCAAGTAGCTTCATCTACTAAATGATTTCTCCAAAGAACCTTGACCAAAGGAATGCTCTTGTTTCTTAATTCTTTAAGTCTTCTATCAAGAATCTGAACTAGTTTTTCTTCGTATGACAAATTTAGTTTCAACTCCAAAGCTTCATACGTCAAAACATGAGATGGATCAGCTGTATACTTACGAAGCATAGAAACATGAAATGTACCATGAATACCAGACAATGATGGGGGAAGAGCTAAGTCATAAGCAAGTTTTCCTACTCTTTTCAAAATCTCAAAAGGCCCTATATACCTAGGACTGAGCTTTCCTTTCTGTCCAAATCTCATAACTCCCTTCATTAGCGCAACTTTGAGAAAGACCTTGTCACCAACTTCAAATTCAAGATCTTTTCTACGCTTATCAGCATAACTCTTCTATCGACTTTGAGCTGCTTTCATCCTTTTTCGAATCTTGTCAATGGCATCAACTGTTTTTTGAACCAATTATGGACCCAACACTTTCCTTTCTCCAACCTCATTCCAATGAATAAGAGATCTGCACTTCCTACCATACAATGCCTCGTATGGAGCCATACCAATAGTCGAATGATAACTATTATTGTAGGAGAACTCAACTAAAGGTAGCTTTTTATCCCATGAAGTCAAAAAATCAAGAACACAAGCTCTAAGCATGTCCTCTAGCGTCTGGATAGTTCTCTCTGATTGTCCATCAGTTTGAGGATGATAAGTCATGCTGAAAGACAAGCGTGTTCCCATAGCTGAATGTAAACTTTTCCAAAATGCTGAAGTGACTTTTGGGTCATGATCAGAAATAATGGATACAGGTGATCCATGAAGCCTGATAATCTCTTTGATATAAAGTTGTGCATACTAATCCATACTGAAGCATGTCCACGTGTGGCCTGCTCATTGTCCGACATGTTTATGTGAATTTTCCCACATAATAGCTGCCTCTAAGGTCGAGGCTTTTCTTCGGACTACCTCGAGCTAGGTCTGGGGTTTGCTCTGGTTCTCCTCTCATTTGCCTCAGGCGTGGGAGCCTAACTCCAAACCTTTTTCGTAATGATGGTCTTGGCGCTTCAGAACCCCTCGAGAAGTGCAAACGTCGCGTCTGTTCAATCGCCATGCTGACGTGGCCTCTCATTTGAATGGATGAACCTAGGCCGCTAGATCGCAACATCTTAGCCTCCCGCCGTTCCCCCGGCCATTCGATCAAACTCCTGTGCCCCCATCGTTAGATATGAACGTATCGGATCGAACGGCTGGGGGTCAAGGCCCTTGGGTTAATAAAGGGCCTCTTCATGTCCGAGTCACTCAAAAACACTTTGAAGCAGCCGAAACTCTGCCAAAATTTTTCTAGGACCGTTTCCTTCTTGCCATTTCGCGGACTATCAGTAGCATCCTTCTCAAGAACTCATGCACCTCTCCTGCTCCTATTTCCCTGGTAAGCATCTTCCTAAACTCCCTTTTGACTCACTTCATTTATCACGTCTGGAATGCGGTGGATCATTTTCTAAGTGGTGGGAATAATTGGGAATGGCACGATAGCAGAGGTTGGAACCTATATTTGGTAGTGTCTGCCATGTCTTGGACTGGCCATAGGAGTTTTGAGTGATTCTGGGTTTCTGTTTGGTATTCTAGGTTAGTTTGAATGGTCGTCGCTCTGCTTGAGCAGTCTCTGGTCCAGTTCATGCCCAGGTTTGAACCATCGTCACTCTAACTCCAATTTTAACCAATAAGATGTCTTGATTTTTAAGTGCCGAACCATCTTTCCTTCCCCTCTCGACTAATAGGAACTGACCTTAGATTTTTCCTTTACAGTAATGGCTTCTAGAGGGATAAAACGTTGAGGGGGATCATCTTTCTTGCCTATCGTGAGGCCAGATCCAACGCCAGCCGCCGAGTCTCCATCTTACTCTACCGCCAGTGATTCACTACTGATGGAGGTCGAGCGCTACGTTCGTGACCCATGCAATGATGAGGACAGCGTCGATCGCCTGGTTGAAGGCGAAGCTGACTCTTCCAGCAGCAGCGGCTCCTTGGTGGGAGGTGTCAAGTTCGGCAATAGTGGCCGACTGACGAGTGTCCCTGTGGCCTCAATAGGGGCAGATGAGGATCAGTTGTCCTTCACTGCTGACTTTGTCATGCCGAAGATGCGGAATAAGGACATCGTTCACGCATTCAAGAAGGGGCGCGTGGACAGCCGATGGTTCGAGTATCTCCTACCGGATTCCCACTTTAGGGTGAGCTAACCGCCCCCGGGCTATATGTCTGTATACACCCGTGCCCTCACGACGGGGATGACACTCCCCATACATCCATTTGTTAAGTCATTGTGTGACCTCCTGTAACACCCTGAAGAATTAATTGAGATTAATTAAGATAATTGAGATTATTAGTGTGCCTAATCTGGATTATTAATTGAGTATTAATTAATAAATGTTTCTGACACGTGTGAGTTTAAATAGTTCTAAGGTATTTAAATTATTCTCAGTAATTTATTTTAACCCATAAGTGTGTATGGGCGCATTTCTGGCTGCTCTTTTAAAATATTGTACACATGTCCTTTTCTTTTCATTTTCCTTTTCTTTTCTTTTCTTTTTCTTTTTCTTTTCTTCCTTTCCTTCTCCTTCCCGTGCATCTCTCTCTCACTTCCCTCACTCTCTCTCTCACTCTCCCGTGCTCTCTCTCACTCTCTCTCTTTCCCATTTTGTCCCAAATCAAACGGATCTTGAACCAAGGAAAGATTTAAAAAAGTTTTCAACGTCAAGAGAAGGATTCGAGGTAAGATCACTGAAAGAACCTCTCTTGAATCTCAAGTTTTTAAATTTCGAAACTTATTTTTGGTTCAAACCGGATTTTGATGGTTTTTGAGTAAAACTAGAGTAGAAATTTGAGATCTTGGGTTCTTTGGACTTGTTTTAGGACCTAGAACCCAGATCTAGTGGTTTCCCTTTGAAATATTTTGATTTGGGACTGGATTTGCAGGTTTTTAGACTGATTTCTGTGAGCTTCTCTCGCGCAGCTGATTCCACCGGTCGACCTGTGCGGTCGACCGGATTGCATTGGCCTGACCGGTCGACCGGAGTGCACACCACCGGTCGACCGGTGGTAATGCACTGCTCTGTCACCGGTCGACCAGTTGACACGGGGTTTGACCCTATTTGGCCTGAAATTGCTGTTTTGACCCCTGTTTGCGGGGAGAACCCAAATTAGCTTCATTTGGAGACTTGAGATGAATGGATTAGCATCTTTAATCCTTGTTTTGAGATTGAAAATGCTTGGAATGATAATTTGAAACATGAAAATGGATTAGGGCACACTAATAGGAAATCTTGGTTAGAAATTGAGATTTGGATTGCTTTAGGAATGAGAATTAATCCTAAAGTGCTATTTTACATCAGTGATCGCTGAGGATTCAGACTGAAGGGGCTTAAGGAAGCAGAAGCCGGAAAAGGCAACACTAGTCCCAGGTTTAATAGTGCGAGGTAGGATTTCTATCCCTTTTCCTTGTGAGCCTGTTTTCAAAAAGGATTTTGGCCTTCAAAATGTTTTAAAGAAAATGATTGGTTTGTGAAAGAAAACGCTTTGAAAACCATGGCTTAATTTGTCATGGAACCTCATGGCTTGCCCAGTCATGGGGCCCACGGCTTGAGTAGTTCGTGGGGTCATAAAAATGATTTCAGAAAAGTTAATGAATGATTTCTTAAGCAAAGAGATCTTGTGAACTGGTAATAGAGTCTATTGCTGTAAGCCTAGATAGGATGCGGAGAGTGCATCCTCGGGGGCAGAACCCGAAACTCGGTCCGGGTAGGCGAGGCACTTGGTTAGGTAAGTAATTTGTACTAATTACTTACTGAAGCCTGTAATACGGTTATTTTCAGTTATATTTCCTTTGAGAAAAAGGATGTGAGGTTCCGGTTGTTCTGTCGGGATTGAATGTCTAATTTTATTTACTTATTCATTCATTCATTTACTCGCTCATTTATTTATTCATTTATTTTAAGTCATTTCAAATTATATCCTGCTGGGCCTTTCGCTCACATTTTATGTTGTGCTGCTGTTGGAATCAATTGAGGATTGTGGTCATCCTCTGACATAAATGTAAGGAATTGAGAATTCTGTAAACTTATGTAATATTTGGATTTACTAGACTGTGGTTGATGTCTGTTGTAATGATTACTTACATGTTCGGGTATGTACAATACTGTATGTCCTGTGGGGTGGAGCCCTGTGTGTCAGAGGCTCCGGAATTCTGTAATTTATTTATATTTTAATGCAGTTGAGTAGGGCTCGTCTGGGAATCTGCTTTATTAACCCCTAATCGAGCTCCACGTCACCCACCCCGTTTGAGAGGCGTGACAAAGGTGGTATCAGAGCCCTAGGTTAAGAAACCCCAGGATTGTACATACATGTGTGACATCTGTTATCCACTGAATAGTCTAGTTTTATTCAAGCTAAAGGAAATGGTGCCTCGCCATAGGCCTGCTAATCAACCGGCACAACAGAATCAGGGATTTCTAGATGCCATGTATGCTACCTTTCAAGGAATGGCCACTATAGCTCAAAATGAGCGGCAGGTTGAGGATAGGAAGCAAGGGTACTTCCAGGAATTTAGGCGTGCGCCCATCCCCCCATTTAATAGTGAGGGAGGACCCCAGGAAGCAGAGTTCTGGTTAGACTCCATAGTCAAGCATTTGAGTACTATGGGAGTTCCAGATGAATACTGGGTGGAATTTACTGTATACAAGATGGGGGGTTTAGCAAATACCTGGTGGAAACAAGTCAAGAGAAGAATAGATGTTGCAGGACTGACCTGGGAGCAATTTGAGACACTGTTCAATGAGCAGTAGTTCCCTCAGAGTTATAGGGAGGAAAAAGCGCTGGAATTCATGTCTCTGCTGCAAGGTGGCATGTCTGTAGAGAGTATGAGGCCAAGTTTAATGACCTGTCCCGGTTCGCGCCATCTTTGGTGGAATCTGAACACCTTAGATGCCTTAAGTTTGAGAATGGCCTCAAAAACTCTGTGAGGAGACCATTGGTGGCTTTGAGAATCCAGAATTTTTGAGATTTGGTGGCTGCTGCTACTAGGGTGGAGCAGGATAACATAGCTTATCACCAAAGTAAAGAATAAGCTGGAAGAGTTTCAGTTTCTGGGTGACCATCTATTTCCGGCGGGCCACAGCGGAGTGGTTGAAGGAACCGCAACCAGGGACAGCCTGGTAGGGGAGTGGTTAGCGGTGGCAGTAGTTCGTCAAGAAGTGACAGAAATGCTCCATACGGGCCCAGGTGTCACCATTGTGGGTAGGTGGGTCATATTAGGAGGAATTGTCCTAATC